TGCAGCCGCGTTGGGGACCCAGAGGAAGCTCCTGGCTCTGGGTCGGCGCAGCTCTGTCCATTGTGGCCATCTGGGTAGTGAACCATCGGATGGAAGACCTCTCTCTATCTCTACCTCTCTCTGTAACTTTCAAATAAATAAAATAAATCTTAAAAAAAAAAAAAAAACTTTAGTATCTATGATCACAACACCTTTACTATAACCTGAGCATACAAAGAATGACACTATTTAATGATAGTTTTATTTGTGTCCCAGCTGCTGCATTAGTTATTTTTTGAGTTTAATCAATGATAAAAACTTAAAGCACATGTATTTTAAAGATAAATATACTAACAGCACATGCATTTAAAATACACTATTGCCTAATGCTGCTTTGAAGAGCCATGAAAGAAAAACAGAGAGGCACTGAAACTTGTGTGTGTTAGCTGAAATGTGTAGTACTTGGTCCAAATGGTTGGTCAAGGACTTTCAGAGTTAAAAAAGAAACAAAATCTAAGCTGTAAGGTTTATAATCTTAGCACTCAGTCACATAGGGGAAGTTATGTTTCAAATGTAGGTACAGAATACAAAACCCACTAATAATTACACTAAGAAATTTTGGAAAACCACTAAGGTAAGTTAATGAGTATACAACCAATAAATAAATTCAAGGAAGATGTGTATTTTTATAACAGCCATGCTGGGTAATGATGTCGCATGAGCTATCTGTTTTAAAAAACATAAACTCGACTATACGAAATTCTCTCAATTTTTTTGCCAAAATAATTGATTGTGGCAATCTGTTCCAGACTGTAAGAATTTTAACAGACCATTAAGTTAACTCAACACAGCTGACTTGTCTGCCTCATATAGGAAGACACTTCAAAAAGTTCATTGAGAATGGAATAAAAACATGTTTATTTTGCTATAAATAACTTTGAAATTCATCAATTTTCCAAAAATCCCTAACATATCTTTATCATTTATTTCACTAAAACTTTCAAAAAATGGCAATAAAGAATAAGGCAGTTCAAATGACAACTTCCTATCAAAAACAGTTTTTCATTCAAATGAAATGTTTTCCATTTAAAGAAGTAAGGTATAATGGCGAATTTCCTTAGTTTAAAAGGTCATATAAGAGCTAAAAATGAAATCAGTTCACTTACTGGTTAAGAGATACAAGTACATCTATATCTATACATAATGAAGAAACTCTTGATGGGGATACCATCTAATTGCTAAACCACAGTAAGTGAAGGGGGAGGGAGGAAAACATAGGATATTATAGTATGTATCATTTGTATAAAGGGGAGGAGGACATGGATTAAATATCAGGAAACACAAATAAAAAAGGTTAACACCTGGGTGATGGGGCTGGCACTGTGGCACAGCAGGTAAAGCTGCCGCCTGCATTGCAGGCAGCCTATATGGTTGCTGGTTCAACTCCCAGCTGTTCCTCTTATGATTCAGCTCTGTGCTGTGGCCTGGGAAAGCAGTGTAAGATGGCCCAAGCCCTTGGGCCCCTCTGAGGCTCCTGGTTCCTGGCCGTTGCAGCCATTTGGAGAATGAACCAGTGGATCAAAGACCAACCTCTCTCTCTGCTTCTGCCTTTCTGTAACTGCCTTTCAAATCAATCTTAAAAATAAAATAAAATAAAATAAAAAATAAAACTGGGTGATGAGAACAGGATATTTTGTTACACCGTATATGTTCTGAAACTTCTGAATGAATTACTCATTCAAAAACAAAATTGAAAATATAATTTGCTAGATTTTGCTTCACAAACGGTGATGTCTTTCTTTTAAATGCTTTCTTCTGATGCATATTCTTACTACTCATTATGCTCCCAACACTTTCTTGGGGATAGAGGTAAGACACTAACATCTTTGGATCTGCTTAAGTCTACTAACATAGTGCTAACAATAATAAACTTAAAAAAAAAAAATTAGGTAACACTTATTGAGCACTTGTAAAATACCAGGCTATTATTGTATGGTTATCACCAAGGAAAGTTGAGGTGTGGAGAAGAATCTTGCCCAAGGTCCCCCAAGTGGGAAGCTAAAATAAAAGCTTAAGATAAACAGCCAACTAGTAACTAGTGAGATGATTCCCTAAGGAACTTTACACTGATCTCACAACCCTATGAAGTAGGTGGTATTATTCTAACTTTAAGACAAGGAAATCCATGCTGAGGAAGATTTAAGAAACTTCCCATAGCTCACATCACAGCTTTAGCACTGGATTCAAACTCAGGCCTATGGTTCCAACTAGATGTCTTTCAACTACATTCTGTCATACTTAATTGCTAAATAAATATCTGAATTACCACAAATTATAAAATTGAGTTCACATATGGGTAATAAAAAAAATTCCTGCATTTTCAAAGATTCTCTACTACATTCTTAAATTCAGATCTAGGCTCTAACTAGAAAATAAATAATCCACCATTGGCACACAGCACATCAAGAATTTTCCAAGACTATGTTACAGGTTAGGTTGCCTAAAAACAAGTTTATGTAGCCAAATCTGATATTTATGGAATAAATGAAATTATAAATTCTAGTGACACACTATAAGCATTAAGTTACATGTAAATAATTTTCTGCACTGTGGGGAAAATACTTAAATGATGTGAAATGGAACAGCTGGTTTCATTATAACATGCTGTACAGAAACAAAACCAAATAACTTAGAATGAGACAAAATAAAGCCATTTCTTTTTGAAGAAAACAAATTATCCACTAATCACATCTAATTAGTTTCAAAAAGAAAAAGGTACCATTTCATGAATCAGGCTTTAAGCCCCAAGTTTCCATTTTCTGTGAATATTTCAATGACTTAACATTTATCTCAAAGTTACCACTAGTGATATATTTGTTATTCAATTTAAGTATTTAGAGTTGTTCTTTACACAGTGCAATGGGACATAATGGGTTAAGTTTTTTTTCAGGCTGTTATGTGAGGAAAAGTCGTTCAAAAGTAGTAACATTATAGAGTTTTAAGTTCCAAAAGAACACTCTTCAGGAAAATTATGTCACAAAGAATTCATTAGCTTTCTAAATGCAAGTGTCCACTAAAAAAAAAAAATTTAAGTAGACCCAGCTGTAATTTTTACTGAACCTAGGACAGCACAGAGGTTTAATTTCATGCCATGTTCCTGGTGAATGTTCAAATATTAATGACTATAAAAGTTTGAGAAATCTCACTTGGATTTGCTAATATTCAAAAATTATGAATCTATAAATTTTAAAGACCTTTTGGATAAGACTGAAGAAGGAATGCACTAGAAACTTTTTAAAAAACTCAGAAAAAAAATCTAACTGGTTTGCAGGAAAAATTTATTAAGGAAAAAACAGTAATCTACCACCACCAATAACTTCTTCAGTGTTTGGAAATAAAAAAGGAAATTCCCTTTATTTGCATCTTCTCAAGTTTCTCAGCAATGACAAATTGCCAATGTGGTCTTTTAAAGACTAGCAACACAACTACAAGAAAACTGACTTAGATACAGGAAAGTCAGAAGAGAATGCTGCTCCCGCCGGTCAGGATTTACCCCTAAACCAGAAGAAGCCTTGCATGTATCAATCACAATTCAATCACACAGTGACAGGTGAGTATTTTTAGAACAAATTATCTGTTCATCTCTCTCACCATCTAAAACGACCGTTTGGGGCTTCACTTTTAAATCAGGAAATGCTTAAAAGTACAAGTTGTCAATAGGCAGCTACCGAAAAGGATCTTACACTAAACCTTCAGAAGACAGACCTAAGGGCAAGCTAAGGCTAGAGTGAAACTCGGTAAGGAGCGACAAATCTAAGTAGGTCATACTGCACGTCCTTTAAAAATGTGGTGTTTTAACCTTGTGTCAGTGACTTTACTGCTGTCCCTTTTCTCAAAAGACGAAGAAAAGTAAGTTTTGTGGCTTAAATTACAGAATGGGGTTCCCCACTGTATGCAAGACAGATCATGGATACTGTTAATGTCTACTTTTAGCACTGTTAGGACATCCATTTCTCATTAAAGTTTATAAAGAGATCCGTGGGAAACTTGGTAGGGGGTGAGGAGAGACCCAGGTGACTCACCCAGCTGACATGTGTGCACCCCCCTCAAAGTGATGCAAAACAAAAGTACGTCTGCGAATGCTCGTTTCAACGAAGTGTTTCAGAATGTTAGACCTCAACTGGTTACTACCTAACTGAAAAGGGTTAAAACCGAAACTGTTTCAAACACCAGCTTCCCTTTTACAAGATCCCAACAGGTTTCTTTTTTTTTTCTTAAAGTTATTACAAATGTTTTTCTTAGCACCCCGTTCCTTCCAAAAAGAATGCATTTCCATGGCTACTGACTTTTAAAAAAAGAAGCGGGGGGGAGGGGGCAGTAAGGGAAAGAGTCAAAAATTCCCTAAAAAAAGCACGACCTCTCATCATCTCAATTGAGCGGCAAAAGGGCAGAAGACAGCCTTTCCCCAACGTTGCGGGAGCGGGGGGCGGAAAAGGGCACCAAGAAAAATACAGCACGAGAAGAAAGCTTGGGGTTCGAACTTTATTGCACAAAAGAGCGTGGAGGGGAGAGCGGATCAGACGCTGCGGCTCTTGCCCGCGCGAAGCGGGCACGCCGGGCTCGGAGGCTACCGGGAAGGCGGCAGGCACCTTCACCTCCTCTGCCCTCGACCGTCGCCTTCTTCTTCCTTCTCCACCCCCCACGGGCTCCCCGGCCGCGGCTGCCCCGCCGGGCCGAGTCGGGCCGGGCCGGGCCGGGGGCGAGGCGGGCGGCGGGGGCCGGCCGGCGGGCGAGCGAGCGAGCGAGCGGGCGGCGCGGGGGGCAGCGCCGGGCCGGGCGGGCGGCCTCCCCCGGGGCGGCTCCCGGCTCCCGGCTCCGCGCCCGGCCCGGCGGCGGCGGCGGGAACGCGGGCGCCAGCTCGCCGAGGCCGCCCGCCCGCCCGCCCGCTCGCTCGCCCGCCCGCCCGCACACACACCCCGGCCGCCGGCTCCCACCCCGCTGCCCGCCCGCCGCCCCCCGCCATGAGCGCCGCCGCTGGCTGCAGGCAGAGTCGCTGCCGCCCCGGCCGCCGCTGGCTCCAGTCCGCCGCCATTATTCTTTGTTCGCTGCGAGCGGCGGCGATGTTGTGGGGCTCGGGCGGAGGCTCCATCTTTACCGCGGCCCCTCCTGCGAGGGGAAGGCCCCGAGCGCGGGTGTCCGGCGCCTCCCCGTCCCCCCTCCGTCCCCCCGGCTCTCTCCGGCTCCTGCCTCCTCCTCCTGCTCCTCTTACCGGTGGTACAAGCTCCTCCGTCACTGCTTTCGTTCGCGGCCCGGATCTCGCTGGAGTTTTATTCTCTCCCCCACGTAACACACCGCGTCAAACTACACCTCCGCCGCGTCACTCACCAACACTCCGCTTCTCCCAGCCGCCCGGGCCACAGGCAGCAGCAGCCGCCGCCGACTGAGGAGCCGCAGCCAGGGAGCCAGCCAGCGCCGCCCAGTGCCGAGTGCGCAGCGGCTGCGCACGGAAACAGCCGAGCGCGGCCCGGAGCGGCTCGAGCGGCCCCGCCCCCGCGTTGGAGGCGGAACTTGCCGAAGGCCTTCGGGCTCCTTCGCGCCAGGCGGAGCGGGGCTCAGCGGGGAAGGGGCCGGGCGGCGAGGGCTGAGACCCGTGCGGGGAGGAGCGCTCTCTACCCCGGCGTGGCGTTCGGGGCGCTGAAACCCCGCGGCGGAAATTTGCAGGAGGAAGCGGGGTTGGTGTGTGACCCGGTGGGGGAATTCCCAAGGGTTCTAGGTGACTGGCTGGAAACCCCCCGCAGGCCTACCCCGAGGCGGTAAGCGGCGGGCTCTAGGGCGGCCACGGTGAGCCCCCGCGCGCCGCCGGCCCGGGAACTTTCAAACACGGCGGGGACGGTGTGGGTGCGGCGGCCACCGGGCAGGGGAGCGAGGGCCACCGCGCCTCGGCCGGCACCCGCAGGCCCGGGGCCTGGCTTGGGCGCTGGCGCTCGAGCAGGCCGCGGGGGGCGTCGCAGGGCCTTGGTGGCGCGGGCTGCCCAGCGGCCGCGAGCGGGGTCGTTCTTTGTCCGGAAGGCAGGGGCTCCGGAATTCGCGGTTGAGCCCTGCGACGTGGGCAGCCCGTCTTGGGGTTCGGTCGGAGCGAGGTTGCTCCTCCTCGGCGCTCGAAATTCGGCCCCACCCCACCTGCCCGCCCTTCTTGGGGCGACATCCTGTGCCTCATTCTCTTTTCGCCGCCTTTCTGCCGCAGTGGTTTGCGCACCCACCCCCACCCTAAGGCTGACACTGTGACTTCCGTGGCCTCCAGGCTGCTGGCACTGCTCCCCCAGGTCGCCCAAGGCCAACCACCGAGTCTCCTCTCCGCTCCTGCAGGCCTCTCCCTGGGTGAAGTCGTGTCCCTTGAAGCCGACTTGTCTTTCTGGAGTAGACCTGGCCCTGCTACCCACTGACTTCTGCTAGGAAGAGAGTTCTCCTTCCTGTTGCTGGCCATCCCCTTTCCGTTAGTTGTTTGCAGGCTTTCCTTCCTGCCATCTCTGCACCAATATTTTAACCATGCTTATTTCTACCCATGGTAAACGCCTTTTCAGCGACTCCACCTGTTAGCTCGTGGGCAGTCGCAGCCTCCTGTCCTTGCTTTACCCCCACTCGTGTAATGGGCTCCCTGGGCCGCTTTTGAGTGCCCCTCCTGTGCTTTGTAAGGCTGTCTCATACTCTTCCAGGGCCTCAGGTGTCCTCTGTCAAAGACCTGTCTGATCCTAAAACTCAAGCCAAAGCCTTCCTCTCGAACGTGGACACGTTATTTCCAACTGCCTTTGCTGCAGTTCATTTGGATGACTGAGGAATGTCAAACAACCTGTACTCGTAGTATCATATTCCTTCCAGAACATTTTTTCCCATAGCCTTGCCTCAGTAAAGTGCATTCTCTCCATCTGCTCAGTTCAAGCCAGAAACTTTACGGATCTCTAATAGATCAGAGTCACTTAGACTTGTCTGCTTCCTGAAAAAGTGAATTGTGAACTCTGTTTCCTTCCTACCTCTAGTCTAAGCTGCCTTCATCTCTTGCTTGATGGCTCATGATAAGCCCCATCCAGGACCTCAGAAATTGCCCTTGCCTCAATCCAGTCCATTTGCTGCACTGACACCACAGTAATTTTTTATTTTTTTAAGATTTATTTATTTATTTGAAAGAGTTACAGAGAGAGAGAGAAGGAGAGGCAGAGAGAGAGATCTTGCATTCGCTGGTTCACTCCCCAGATGGCCGCAATGGCTGGAGCTGGACCAATCTGAAGCCAGGAGCCAGGAGCTTCTTCAGGGTCTCCTACATGGGTGCGGGGGCCCAGGGGCTTGGGCCATCTTCTACTGCTTTCCCAGGCCATAGCAGAGAGCTGGATCAGAAGTGGAGCAGCCAAGTCTCGAACCGGCGCCCATGTGAGATGCTGGCGCTTAAGGCCACGGCGTTAACCCACTGTGCCACAGCACCGTCCCCACTACAGTAATCTTTTAAAAGACAGTTCTGGTTAAGTTGCTACCTTGCTTTGGGTCCTTGAATGGTCTACCCTTTGGCTACCACACAGTGTGAGTTCTATTATCTGGACTTGTCTTCCTCCACACCCTCTCCAACTGCCTAGCTCTCTGCACTCCAACGTGTTTTTCTCTCTCTGTCCCTACCACAGTCTCTTTTTGCTCCAAGGCATGTAAACACATGCCATTCCTTTCCCCTGGTAGTTTTTTCCCTCATCCACTCCTCCTACTTACCTGTAATTTATCACTCTCTTTTCTGATTCGTCATGCTAGTAATTATTTGCTTAGTGTCCGAGTAATACCTTACTCATTATCTACCCTCTCTCTCCTTTCCCACCTGGAAAAACGCACAATGTCTAGAATATAACAATGTTGGTTAAATATTCATTGAATGGTGAATGTCTGTAATCTCACTAACATTTTGGAGCTCAAATCCTGGCACTCTCGGGGGGGTCAGGCCTCAGACTGGTGGCTTATAAACAACAGAAATAATAAATCTCAGAGTTCGGGAGGCTGCCAGCTGGTCAGGTTCTCCTGAGAGCCTTCTTACAGGTTGCAGATACCCATTTTCTGCTTGCAGCCTCACAGGGCTGAAAAAGAGAGCTCCCTGGGGTTCCTTTATCACTGATCCCATTCATAAAGGCTCCACCCTCGCAGAGCTCATTTATCTCCCCAAAGCCCCACCTCCTGGCACCTTCATACCGGGTGTTAGGATTTCACCATATGAATTTGGGGAGGGCACAAACCTTCAGCTCTTTGCCCAAGTTCAGCTCTTACTGCTAGTGACTTTGGGTAAATTGTTCACTCTGTGCTTTAGTTTTCCCATCTATAAAGTAACAATGGTGATAATAGCACTTACCTGATACTGTGTACTTGGATCAATGTTTGGCATGTAATAAATGTTAATAAAATGTTGCCTTTAACTAGCTTCTGATTGGAAATCTCTGTCAAATACATTTTTTAAATTGAGTGTATCCTCTTCCTGCTCTTATTTACTTATTTGAAAGGCAGAGAGGGAGAGAAAGCTTCCATTCTCTGGTTCACTCCCCAAATGGCCACAATGGCCAGAGCTTGGCCATGCTGAAGCCAGGAGCCTGGAACTTCATCCGAGTCTCTCAAGTGGATAACCGGGGCCCAGCTACTTGTACCTTCTGCTGCTGCTTTCCCAGGCACATTAGCAGGAAGCTGGATTGGAAGTGGAGCTGCCAGTACCACCAGCCAGGGCTCCTATGGGATACTGGTGCTGGCATTGGCATTGTAGGCAATACTGAGGCTGGACCCCCTGCTCTTTAGACTGGTTCTATATGATACCAAGATTCTGGATTCATCTTGGCCTACACCAATCCCCATTGAATATGACAATTTAAAACATTTTATTTTGAGGCCCATATTGTGGCACAGTGGATTAAGCTGCAGCCTGCAATGTTATCATCCTGTATAAGCATGCTCCACTTCCAGTCCAGCCCCTGCTATTCATGCTGGGGAAAGCAGTGAAAGTTGGTTCAAGTGTGCTGGGGCCCTTCTTCCCTTGTGGGAGACTCTGATGGTTCTAGGCTCCTGTCTGGCCTAGGTGTAGGCAGCCACCATCTGGGTAGTGAACCAGGCCTGGAAGACTTGTCTCTCCCTCTCTAACTCTTTCAAATAAGTAAATTTTTTAAAAAACTTCTTATTTATTTGGAAGGCAAAGAGAGAAACAGATCTGCAACTACTGCTTCCCAAATGCTTGCAACAGCTAGGCTGAGCCAGGAGCTGGGAATTCAACCCAGGTGTCCCTTGTGAGTGATAGAAACTCAAGTATTTGTGTTATCAGCTGCTGCTTCCTAGGGTGTGCGTTAGGAAGGTGAATCTGAAGCGTAGCCAGGACTCAAACATGGGCACTTTAATATGGGGTGTGGGAGCCCCAGCAATGTGTTAATTGCTTTCCCATACACCTGCCCCATGGTAATTTTTCATTTCAAAATTTCCTGTTTCTTTTTATTCATAGTGACCTTCCCTTAGGGCTTATCGCATCTCAGTTGCTTTACTAATCCTAGGTGCTTTTTAACTTGAGAACTACTTATCCAATTCATTTTTTGCCATTCTGTCAGACCAGTGAGCCTCAGCAGTGTTTAAATCATGTGTTCTTGAATTCTGCTCTAGTGGGCTGTGTTCCCTCCTAACTTTGTTTACTCATTCACATGACCACTCTTTCAAGTGCAAGTTATTTTACTGAACACTTTGGGTGTATGCCAGGTTTGAAATCTAGTGTGGTATCTCCAGAAAGCAGATGTGGACCAGAAATGTTAAGTTTCCAGCATCCAGTTTTTCTCTCTGGGACTTAGAAGCCATTTCCCTTTTTGACTCAACTTCCCAACTGGGAAAATATGGTCAATAACAGGAAGACGAAAGTAGAGGACAGCACATGGAATTAACTTGAATGTACAATAAGACTGATGAATCTTGAACAAGGTCCAGATAGGGGGCAGGTTTCATGAGATGATTGTAAAACTTTCAAGGAGAAAGTTACATTTGAGAGCTTTTCTCTGACCACGGCTTCCTTTTCCTGTTGTTTTTCTCTTGCTTCTGCTGTTGTACCTAATTTTCACCTTTACTGTGAACTCAAGGTCCGTGAACCCAGCCTATACTTTTAGGTCATTTCTTGTGACTTGATTTGCTTTCACACCTAACCCCAGACCACAGTGACCCAGTTGACTTATTCTAGAAGTCCCCGTTGAGCACCTATTTTGTGCCATGTATTCTTCTAAACATATAACAGGGAACAAAATAGTTGGCCTCTGCTCTTGGAGACATTAGAATCTTCAACTTCTCTACTTTCCTGACATTTTTTTATTTTTATTTATTTATTTATTTATTTATTTTTATTTTGCTGTGCTCCCATTCAGTCACCTGATTGTGAATATTTTGACAACTCTCAAAATTAGATTTTCTCCCAAAATCAGTCTTCCAAAATCCAGACTCGCTTAAACAACTAACCCCTCACTTCTCCACTTGGACATTGCCTTAGCTGGTTTCTTGCAGAAAGTAGGACCTGAGGCAAAAGCTTCTGTGCTGTTGTTTCCTTAGGGAGTAGAATCAAGGGCACTGAGGGTAGCGAAAACCAGTGAATCAGGGGAGGAAGTCAAGAATGAGTCAAAGAGAGGCTAACAGTACTCTCCCGGATTCAACATGCCCAATGCACACATAAACATTTCCATTTTGTGTGGCACCCAACAGACCTTTAGAAAATGTGGGTCTGGCTGTGAGACAACGTGCTATGGGTGGGTATAGCCTGGAATTGGTTGGCCATTGGCAGTAGAGG